TCTTCGAATAATCATAATATATGAGTGGGTGTCTTCACTCCTGAACGTAATCTGCCGGTGAGGCACCCCCCTTCCCGACGGGGTCGGGCGAAGGGTGTTCCTCCATGGGCACACTCCCCCTGAATGCATCAGGCGGGAGTAAAGGACTCTGACTCGAGCTTTCCTACGGAGAAGCTTAGAGGTCTATGCATATATAAACCGACGTCGCGGTACTGTCAAAACATGATGCACGTGTGTATGTATGAATGTATGAGGTATGATGCATGAATGCATGTAATGTATGGGTGCGATGTATGAGAGAATGAATGTGAGATGTGATAGAAAACGGTGACTATCATCGAAAAACCGGGCATGTCAGCGCCGAGAGGCAGACGTGCTGCATAAGACGGTCGTCGCCATCCTAGAAGGGATGGGCGATCCGGAGATGAACTTGACACAATGGCACGGAGGGGACGATTGTGCTGCATAAGATATCCGTCCCCATCCTGGAGGAGATGGGAGACCCGGAGATGAACTAGACACGATGGCACTGAGGGGCCGATCGAGCTGCATAAGAGATGTTCGTCGCCATCCTGGAAGGGATGGGCGAGCCGAACACGAGCCATACACGATGGCGCTGAGGCGCTGATCGTGCTGCATATGAGACGTTTGTCGCCATCCCGGAAGAAATGGGCGAGCCGAACATGAGCCAGACACGATGGCACAGAGGCGCTGATCGTACTGCATATGAGACGTTCGTCGCCATCCTGGAAGGGATGGGCAAGCCGAACATGAGCCAGACATGATGGCACTCAAGCGCTGATCGTGCTGCATATGAGACGTCCGTCATCATCCTGGAAGGAATGGACGAGCCGAACATGAGCTGGGTACGATGGCGCTGAGGGGCTGATCGGACTACATAAGACGGTCGTCGCCATCCTGAAGGGAATGTGCGAGCCGAACCGTGAAGTGGACACAATGGCGCTGAGGTGCCGATCATGATGCATAAGACGTTTGTCACCATCCTGGAAGGGAATTGGCGAGCCGAACGTGAGCTGGGTACGATGGCGCTGAGGGGCCGATCGTACTGCATAAGACGGTTGTCACCATCCTGGAGGGAATGTGCGATCTGAACGTGAAAGAGACACGATGGCGCTGAGGGGCCGATCGTGCTGCATAAGACGTTCGTCGCCATCCTGGAGGGGATGGGCAAGCCGAACGTGAGCTGGGTACGATGGCGCTGAAGGGCCGATCGTACTGCACAAGACGGTCGTCGCCATCCTGGAGGGAATGTGCGATCCGAACGTGAAAGAGACATGATGGCGCTGAGGGGCCGATCGTGCTGTATAAGACGTTCGTCGCCATCCTGGAGGGGATGTGCGATCCGAATGTGAAAGAGACACGATGGCACTGAGGGGCCGATCGTGCTGCATAAGACGTTCGTCGCCATCCTGGAGGGGATGGGCAAGCCGAACGTGAGCTGGGTATGATGGCGCTGAGGGGCCAATCGTACTGCACAAGACAGTTGTCGCCATCCTGGAGGGGATGTGCGAGCTGAGCTAGACACGATGGCGCTGAGGGGCCGATCGTGCTGCATAAAGACGTTCATCACCATCCTGGAAGGGATGGGCGAGCTGAACGTGAGCTGGGTACGATGGCGCTGAGGGGCCGATCGCACTGCATAAGACGGTCGTCGCCATCCTTGAGGGAATGTGCGAGCCGAACCGTGAATCTGGGTGTTGTCCTTCCTGTTTGATATGGGGAGCTGATCTTCGTTCGTCTACCGTATCTGTGGTCCTACGTACGAACCGCTAAGCGGTGTACGCTCGGCACGCAACAGACTCCGGTGAAGAACTGGTCCCTCCTGTCTGATCTGCGACGTTGGTCTTTGTTTATCTACCGTATATGTGGTCCTACAGGTTCGTGCTCCAGGCTTTTGCCACCACACTAGCTGACCGCTCGTCATCTGGTGCTTGTACTTGTAATCCTTCGTTTTTTCTTTACATTGTATTTCATACTTGTAGTTTCCCGACCGATAGCGCCGAAGAATAAAATCATTTTTTGCTCCATGCTCGTCAGGCATTTTTTTTTTTTGAGTCTTTTGGTCTTTGTTCATCCCAAGTCTCGTGATATTACTAGTCTTCTGTCTTCGCAGAAGACGTTCGTCATCCAACAATGGGAAGAAACTTGTTTACCCCGCTAGGGTTCCCTTTTCTTTGTTCATCCCACGCCCGTGGCCCTACTAGCCTTCTGTTTTGGCAGAAGATTTTCGTCACCCATCGAGTAATGGGAAGGACTGGTTTACCCCGCCAGGGTTCCCTTCTTCGTTCACCCCACGCTCGTGGTCCTACTAGCCTTCTGCTCTTGGCAGAAGGTGTTCGCGGATCCACGAGTAATGGGAAGAAACTAGTTTATCCCGCCGGGGTTCCCTTTGTTCGTCTACCCCCCCCCCCCCCCCCCCCCCCCGCGCGTTCTGACTAATCTCCTGACCCGAAGACGTTCGTCATTCACGAGTAGTGGGAAGATCTGGTGTACCCCGTCGAGACTCCCTCTCTTATAGGAATTCGTCTCCCCTTCTCCCTTTTTTTATGTGGCTCGCTTGCTCTTTTTTTGTTTGAGGGAGGAAAATACGTTCGTCGGTTCCAAGAATGACCACAAGTGATGTCACACATAATGGTGGTGGGATACCAAAACGAATAAAATGACGAGGCGATGGAATAGCTGGTCGTCATGCGAAGGCGATGGTCACCCTCCTGGAGGGGAGGGGTGAGCCCGATCGCTAACTCAAGAAGGTCGGCATTGGGAGCCGATATACAATGATCATAATGTCGTTGAGCAGTCGGTCCTGAAAAGGAGATGACAATAGTGTCCGATCAGGCCGATATATCCGAGCAACGGCTCTCATCCACGCAGCGCGGGGATGAAACCGGTCTTCAAAAGATAAATATGTCGTGCCGAGAGGCCGAACATAACATGATAGTGTCGGCAGTGAGAGGCCGACCTGAAAGAATCAAGCAATGGTCCTCATCCGCACAACGCGGGGACGAAGCCGGTCTTCAAATATGATAATCACGCCGTGCCGAGAGGCCGATCGTGATATGATGATGTCGGCAATGAGAGGCCGACCTAAAATCCAGCAACGGTCGTCATTCGCGAGGAGCGGGGATGAGGCCGGTCTTCAAGCATGATAATGGCACCGTACCAGGGGGTCGGTAGCCATGTAAAAGTATCGGCCTGGGGGCCGATCAGAAAGAGCCAAGCAACGGTCCTCATCCGCGAGGGGCGGAGACGAGGCCGGTCTTCAAATATGATAATGGCACCGTACCAGGGGGTCGGTAGCCATGTAAAAGTATCGGCCTGGGGGGCGATCAGAAAGAGCCAAGCAACGGTCCTCATCCACGAGGGGCGGGGACGAGGCCGGTCTTCATATATGATAATGGCACTGTACCAGGGGGTCGGTAGCCATGTAAAAGTATCGGCCTGGGGGCCGATCAGAAAGAGCCAAGCAACGGTCCTCATCCGCGAGGGGCGAGGACGAGGCCGATCTTCAAACATGGAAGGCACACCGTGCTGAGAGGCCGGTCGTGACATAGTGGTGTCGGCAATGAGGGGCCGATAAAGAGAATCAAGTAACGGTCCTCATCCGTGAGGAGCAGGGACGAGGCCGGTCTTTAAAAGATAAACATGCCGTGCCGAGAGGCCAGACATGGTATGATAGTGCCGGCAATGATGGCCGATCTGAAAGTTAAGCAACGGTCCTCATCCGCGCAGCGCGGGGACGAGGCTGGTCTTCAAATATGATAATCACGCCGTGCCGAGAGGCCGGTCGTGATGTGATGGTGTCGGACGGCCCTCGGCCGTGACGGTCTCCTCTAGGCCCCCGGCCTCTGAGTGATGGATGATTGCCTCACGGTTTTCCGCCGTGGTAGTCCCCTCTAGACCTTCGGCCTCTAGGTGTTCTTTCCTAGGCCATCGGTCCCTGGGGTGGAGATGCTCGTCTCACGGTTCTCAATCGTGATGGTCTCCTATAGGCCCTCGGCCTCTAGGGTGGAGATGCTCGTCTCACGGTTCTCAGTTGTGATGGTATCCTCTTTAGCCGGCCCTTAACGTCTTTGGGACTCAGACCGAGCGTCATTTAATCATTTCACCCGAGCGCGTCGAGTGGCTTCGGCTGCGTAATAAGCATGGTAACGAGCCGCACAGCCCGACAATATGTATACACACATAACCATCTGCATGGCTTTCTATTTAACATCCACGATTATCGGCCTATGGGTTCTCGTGACCCTCGTCCCGACTCATCGTGCGGGGTTATTGGACGTAGCAGCTCGCGGCGGGGCCATTTAGCAGCCTTCTGAACGTCACATAGAAATATTCATCAGTCTGTGAGTTTTCAAACTCAGACCCAAGTTAGTCGCACTGCCCTCGGAAAAAGGAGGTTGAGCGCTTTGGTGCCTTCGGGCCCCACAGGCCGCGTTTGGCAACAAACACTTTGCGCCTAGCGGCGCAGGCAGTACTAGGGTACGATCGTCGATCGGGCACTTGGTGCGTGCGGACTAATGCGTAACTCCTAAATTAAAACGCGTCATCGGGGCACTACCCTCTGGAGACGCTCAGATCGCTAATCAAAGTCGATCGAGAGTGGGCTAATCGGCCCCACCAACAATTAAACATTTAATAAAATGTTGGCGAAACTAACTATCATTAGAGCTCCGTTCGCTCTAATGATAGTGATGTACGGGTAGTAATAATAGTATTATCCTACCATAGGTTATTCAGGTACGCTCCGTTCGCTAATTAAAGCCGATCGGGAGCGGGCCAACGGGCCCACAACAACCTATCATTAATTAAAAAGACGGCGAAATTAATTATCACTGGAGTTTTACTCACTTGAGCCTTGCTCGACATCATTTAATTTCGGGATATTTTTATCCCTATTAAATAATGGTGATAATAATTAATAGCAATAATATTATTGCAACTAATCGATTTGTAAATGAGAAAGTATATGTGATACTTAGCTCTTCAAGCCGACTTAATGTTGATCTAGTGGAGTTTTGTGGAGTCGGGTTGCTCCCATGTTGTCAATTTTGATCTAGTCAAACTTGCCCCACTTAATGTCTGCAAGCTGGCAGCTACCCCATGGTCAATACTCAATACAGTAGCCCGACTCAGCTTTTCCCAGGGAGCCCATGAACTCATGAAGTGCACAGCACAACAGCGGTCGATCCGGACTCTACCCCTCCCGCTTCTTTCCTCGACGTGGCCAGCTTCCATCCAAGTGAAGGGAACCTTTTTTGGAGAGGCAGATGGAAGAACACGTCCTCAACCAAAAGGCAAGCAGTTCGTGCTACCTCGCGACGGTGCTGGTGTTTGCTGTAGCGGAGCAAGGGCGGCCAGAGAAGCTAGTGTCCGGCGGAAGCTCGACCAACTACTGAATATACTTCTTCTAAGCTAGAAACCACCATTAATGGCGGAAACCAAGGGAGCTCTCCATCGGCATATCCAGGTCGCGTCGGCCGAGTCGTCGTGGATGCTCGAACGGCGACCGACCGGGTGGGGGAGTGACCTACAGTTGGCCGGCGATGACGATGGCCGTGTGGTGATGCTCTGGCGGCGGCGATGCTCCGGCGGCGGCGGCAAAACAGAGCAAAATCCAGATACCCTAGATCTTGATCCTCATTTTTCCTCTTTTTTCCTGAAATCGGTTCATCCGGTATCAATTTCTTGTTGAAAATCAGTCCTCTGCCTCATATTTTTTTGTAGAAAAATCAAGAACACGCTAAACTTTTTGAACTGATTCCCACAGACGGCGCCAGTGTTGAGTTTAATCCAACACGATATAGTAAATATATGTATAAATGTGTATGAACAAGCTCAGTTTTTACGTGGAAACCCGAAAGGGAGAAAACCACGGGACTTTTTAGGCTAATGTCCAAGCTCCCTCTTTCTCATTAGGACTCTCCTCACCATTACATAGTACATTTTGAGCTTCCATTAATGGAGTCTTGTAAGCTAACTAAGAAGGAGGGAGAAGAAGAAGGGATCCTTTTACATGGAGGGAAACCTCCTATTTATAGAGAATAGGGGAAGGGGATGCTCTCCACCCTAATGGGCCGCATGGGCCGGAGTGGGCCCAAAGGGCTAAAGTGAGCCGGATGGGCCGAAATGGGCCTAACTGCTCGGGCTCCGTACTGGGTTATGTCTTGGGATCCTGAACAGTAACAGACCGTGATAATATATCCCAACAGTTTTCATGAATTTAAGGTCTTACGCCATCTCAGGGCATTTGTTGATAGGAGGTTTGACTTGCGGAAGACTAATTTTTTGAGTGGGAGTGTTTTTTATTGAGTTTTTGATGTGGTGGTTGCGTTGGGCAAACGACGTTAAAAATAGCAATTCTTGGGAGGCAACCCAAGCTTATTTCTCCACTTTTGTCTTTGTTTGTTTGCTTTTCAGAAAACCCCCGAAAAAAAACCCGGAGTGTTTTCGGTTTGTGTTTTTGTGTTTGTGTGTTTTGTTTGTGCAGCACAGGTCTTGCTTTGGGGATGATGTGCTAAGAATCACTTGACTCAGTTTAGTTCTGCACCGATCAACGCCTTAGGAAAGTTTATGTGACTCTTATAATCGCCTGTTTGTAATAATTAACTTTAGTTAAGTTGAGCACGCGTGACCCTTTCCTCTTTACCCCTTGTGCATAGTGCATTTTTTGTCATCGAGGGCGATGCCAAAGTTTAAGTGTGGGGGAGTGAATTGGGTATTCGGGCAGTAGTTGTTACATGTGATTATTAGAGTTAGAATGCACAGGTGTTAGTTGTATATTCATAGAAAAGTCAGGTCGCAATTTTTGAAAATTTTTCTTTAAACTTTGTCTTTGTAAATGCGGACGTCTCTCTCTAGGGTTAGGCTCCTTGGCCGCCTAGTGTAGCTTTTCCCTTCCCAATTCGTTTCGGTTCAGCTTTGGCAGAAAAGTTGGTACGGAAACGGAGGTGATGCAAACTGTTTTCTTGGGTGCTTTCGACAAGTGCAGGGGCAGCAATCTTGCTCTTTTTCTTGTTCGAGTTGCTCTTTGTTGTGTGCGACGAAGGCCTAGTTTTCGGATGAGATCTGTTATCTGCTTCGGCGAAGCGGGAAGGCAGATGGAGGCTTCAAACAGCTGGGCAACGGAGGAAAAAACAACTAGTTTTGCTATGAGAACGGGACAAGGAGGAATGAACGGGCTTCGTGTATTCAACATTTTGATCGTCAATGGAGAATCAATTGGTGTGGTACCGATGGTATGGCCCCCTCAAGAACCACCGCCAAGGGTTGATCGACGCAATTTGGAGTTTGCTTATTTATCTTTTCTGCATTTCAATTTTCAGGTTAAGACGTTTGTTTTTTGTTGTTATTTTATTTTATGTTGTAGGACTCTTGCATTAGGTTTGGGGAATGAGAGGTCTACGGTAATCATCATTGGCTGTATGTTGCCCAATTTAGGTCTAGCGAGTTATATTGCTTTGTCAAAGGTGATAAACTCAGAGTCTCGGCCAAGGGCGGATGGTTACATGTGGTTCTTTTGTTATCATGTACCCCTGTTGAATGCTATTTTATTAATCTAAAGCCACTTTGACGATAAAAAAAACTATGTCTTTGTGAGCTGGCTAACGTTTTGACTATGTTTTTAGAACATCTTTGAAGTGTTTAGGCTTAAATTGCTTGCACTATAATCTAGTTGTTGAGAGGATGAAGGCATTAGTCACCCATTAAATTATTCCATTAATCATCCACCCACCTGAAAAAGTCCTTTAGGAGAAGCCACTTTGAGCCTAACCGTTTATTATTTACCCAATTAATTGAGCTCCATAGCCAAATGGCATGTGTTTCCTTACCCGTGAATACTTCTGACATAGTCTTGGTGGGAACTAGGGGATTAATTTGCTAAGTTTAGGGAATTTTTGTAGGAGTCACTTTTAGCACTGTTCCTATGCCCCAAATGGGGTAAGAGCAATCACTTTTTTAGGAATTTGATACTTTCGAGGATTGCATTGTAAGCATGGATTCACTTTGAATAAATGAACTTTAATTGCTATTTTTCCTTGGTGGGGCCGAGATTAGAATGGGGTAATGTCTAGTAAAAATCTGAAAATTGAAAAAATTAATTAATAGCTAGACCTCTTACCTTGCGAAAAAGAGGATGAGAACCTCGGTCAAAAAGCGTAAGATGAGACTTGGGTATCTTTCGAAAGAAATGGCGTTCTCGTGCCAACATGACAAGGAAAACTGAACCTAATTAAATGAACTTGGAGGCTATTGCAAAATGAGCTTTAGTCCTTCGCGTACTTCAAGTATACGTCAAAGCACAAATGTGCCGCGGCGGTTTAGCTTAGTTGTACACCATGTCTACTCTTTGCATAGGTTTAAATGATAGTTCCTAATTTGTGGCCTACTGAATTCTTTAAACCTAAGAATAGCCCCGAAATTCCTGAATGCATTGAGTCTTTGTTAGAATGTTTCAAACTCTCAAGAAAGGGATTGTTTACCATTCACCACCGCCTTCACAAGTCCTTCTGATCGGTAGCTAGTTTATTTGTGTACGCTGTCACTACTTTGAGGATGTTGTGAATAATTTTGTCAAATATTTTAGCTTTAGTACAAAGATGTAGTTTAGGGAGCAATTTTTTTGATTTAGTCTGTCTATTCTGTGAGTATCCCTTTAACTACGTGTGCATGCTCATTGTTTTGATTCCGTGGGGTGACTATCGTAAGTCCCGTTGTTCAGTTTGCTTGAGGACAAGCAAAGGCTTAAGTGTGGGGGAATCTGATAAGTCCTTATTTAGACACGCATTTGATGCGTGTTGGGATCGACATTTGATGGTTTTCCTAGCTTTAAGGTGTTACAAGTCTCAATTTTAGCTCAAGTCATGTTTACCGAGCATTGGTTTGAGTTTTGTGTTGTTTGGAGTCAAAATCAGGAATTTAGAGTCCGCCACCAGCGCTTGAGAAGTAATCGGGAAGCGTTGGAGAGCATTCCAGAGAGATTTGAGAGTTTTGGAGGCCACCGGGAGGTTTACGATGAAGATTTGATGAAGAAATGGCCTTTGGATCGATCCAAGAAGCATCTGGGAGCCAACAGGGAAGAAAATAGCAAGAAAACGGTTCATAAGTCATCCGCGCGCCCCGCGGGTCGGTACCGCACGCCCCGCGGGTGATTCTGAGAGCAAAAGGTTGAGGGGTCTGAACCGCACACCGCGCGGTCCAAAAATAGCCCCCAGGAGTACCCCGCGCGGTTGCGTAGTGCGGCGCCCGCACACCGCACGGGCGGAGCGAAACACGGAGACGGAAATCGGACGCGCGTGACCGCACGGTGACCCGCACTACGTGCGGTCGACCGTGCGGTCGGAATTTCGGCCCGATTTTGGTATTTCCTATAAATAGGTCCGTATTTTCCCTATTTTTGACTTATGATCTTAGAGAGATAAACCCTAATTCGATTTTTGAGAGCTTTTCAAGCCTTGTTCTTCAAGATTAAGGAATTCTTTGTAAGTTTTATCTTTTTAATTAATGACAATTAATTCTATTCATCACAATTCTGTTGGTTCAATTATGAATTGTGAGTAGTTTAATTAGGGATTTGGGGTTGATCATGATGTATGGCTAGATTCTTGTTGGTTTAATTGCATGAATGACATTTAATTTGTGTATGAATAATTTAATTGATATCTTTTGTAACCTAGAACGTCCGCTAGAATTACAATTGCTTGTAGAATAAATTAAGAGAGATCTAGTTTATTCCTTTTTTTAAAGGAGATCTAGTTTATTCTAGGACACATTCACACTCACTTAATCATTCGCTAAGAGATTAGTAGCGATTAAGGGTCCGTAAGCTCGCTCGTCTTGGCAATAATTTAGGATCCTTTCGCATGAGAGATCAGCCTGGTTCCCTAAATTATTGTACTCTACGCCGCGAGAGCGGTAAGAACTTAGTAATGATTAACTAGGCTCAATTAAATTAAATTCATGTAATTAGGCCTGATCTGCCAGAAATCTGGTTACCCCAGAATCAATCCATGTTCCCTTTGTCATTAATTAGAGAGAAACCAAGCTTTATTTTTATTATTCGTTCATTCGCATTAGTTTAATTTTCCCAACCAACCAATCTCGCACAATTGCATTTTATTTTATTTTATTTTCTCTTTAATCGCTGAAATTAGTTAATATTTAATTCCCTTTTGTCCGTCCCTATGGAGACGATACTCGTACTTCCACCACTTTACTACATCATTTTTAAGTGCGAGAAAACTCACATCAAAGCTCAGTGAAAAAGGCCAATCATCAGGAAGCTAGGAAGAGCATCCCGGGTGACAAGAACTAGACTTGAAGAAGGCGTGAAGTAGTTCATAAGTGCTAGGATCTAAGTGTTGTAACTTGATCTTTTACCATCTTAGTGGAAGAGTGGACTAGAGGAACGAGTTGTTCCTTGAACCACTATAAAATCCATGGTGTCATTTACTTACTGCTTTTATTATTTGCACCTAGGTTCTAACTGTTCTTCTCAAAAGGGGCTTGGACTTTGTGTTCAGCAAATCTTGCCTTAGAGAAAACAGAAAGACAAAATTGCCTTAGTGTGTTTGTGAGGCTACCCGACCAGAATACCTATCCGCTGCCGGTCAGTTCTGTCAAAGAACTTGACTTACTCTGTGAGACAGCCCCCTTGACTCACAAGAATTTGAAAAACCAGAACAATCTATTCACCCCCCCTCCCCAGGCTATTTCTTGTGCAACCGGGACCAACAAGTGATATCAAAGCTTCATTGTTCTTGTAATCCTTTAGGTTACCTGTTGAACGAAGATTCACTTGTTTCTTAGCTTTTGTATTCTTCTTTATTATGGATACCACACTCTCTAAGAATCTCATGTTTTCAGTACTGAAGTTCGATGACTGGAAAATCCGTATGAAGGCACATCTATGTGCTCTACATGATGAGATGTGGCAAGTTCTTGATGTTGGACCATTTACAAAATTCAAAAAGGTGAACTCTGCCTAGAGCCGTCAAAATGGGCCGAAACCCGCGGGCTGACCCGTTTAAACCCATTTATTAGTGGGTTAGGGTTGTGATTTTCTGACCCATTTAGTTCACGGGTTTCGCGGGTCAACCCACGCGGGTTGCGGGTTTAAGTGGGTTGGCCCACCGGGTCGCGGGTTGGCCAATATACAAACATATTATTTTGATTTTTAATATCTTAAATAATACAGAGTATTGTTCTTTTACTATCAAAATTATTATAATTACAATTAAAAAATTACAACCATTGCAAAATAATTATTAGTTCTATAATAAATATTCAAATAAATTGTTGAAACATACGGAGTATATTTTAAGTAAAGTTCGATCTATCATTTAATAATTAGTAGTCATGATTTACAAATAATCACTCAAAAAGTTTAAGTACATATTTGCTTTTATATAATAAGTATTCTTGCTACATACACTCTAATAGTTTTCAAATTCTAGTATAACTAGTATGAAGTACGTAGTATTATTTAATACTGCATATTTTTTTTAATTAAACTTAACAAGTATTGATTTATTAGTATTTTGATTTCTTATATTTCATATACTACTACTTACTAATATAAATGTATACTCAAGGGTAATTATTTTTAAAGAATAATTTTTATATATATATTTTTTGCAACGGCCCGCAGGCCAACCCGTTTAGCCCGTGGGTTAGGCGGGTTGGGTTAGGGTTGTAGAAATTCTGGTCCGTCATTAAACGGGTTGGTCCGACCTAACCCACATAAAGCATAACTCGTCACGAGTCGGGGCGGGTTGGGTCGAGTTGGCCCGTTGGACAGCTCTAACTCTGCCTATGTTTTTGGTGGAACAGAACCACATATGGTCCTCACATCTCGATCAGAATGGTCAACTGAGGAAAGAAGAGAGTACAACCTTGATAACATTGTCAAAGACATCTGTACAAAGCTATTGCTGATCGATACTTCACAAGAATAAAAAAGTGCACCACCGCCAAATAGACATGGGATACACTCATTCTCATTGGAGCTGGAGATGAGCAAGAGAAAGACAATAAACTCACCATTGCCATGAAGAAGTTTGAAGACTTCAAGTTTCTACCAAATGAGTGCATAGCAGAAATGTATGCACGTCTGCTCACTCTCACAGCAGAAATCTCTGAGCTTGGGAAGGAACTAACTCCCAAAGAAGTCAACTTGAAAGTTCTGAGAGGTCTACCCTCACCATGGAAAATGAAGGTCACAACAATGAGAGATAACACGAATCTCAGAACTTACAGCATAGAAAAGCTCATCTCAGATCTGAAGTCTTCTGAGTTTGAGATGAATGAAGAAAAGGAATATGAACAAGAAGAAAGAACTACTACAGCTCTAATTGCCAGTACATCGAAGGTAAAAGACTTTGATCCTTCAATTCTATTATCTGATGAATATATGACTACTTTTGCAAGGAAATTCAGGAAATTCATGAAGAAGCCCAAAGATAGTAGAAATCCATCCTCTACCAGAAGACCCTACCAGAAACCAAAGTCTTCTAATAGCAGTGGAGAACTTCTCTGCTATAACTTCCGACAACCTGGTCACTTCAAA